ATTCTACTTGATCTTTTCATACCTACAGTGAATATCAATCGTTGTTGTAATCATACTTACACCTCCTTCACTTATCATATACTTGAATTGTTTTTGTTTGCATATTGTTCTGTAAACGTACATTATATTTGATACTTCAAATACATATTTTCCTTTAAATTCTTTATAAAAACAAAGTCTATTGTACTGGCAAGTCTGCAGTATGATCAAAGCATTTCCAATAAAATATTATCTATAATATTTCTTGAAAATCTAAACAGATTGCTATAATCATTACTTACAGAAAACTAGTAGTTTTGCCTTCCTCCACTGCCTTGTCAATAGATTCCAAAGAGAAAATGCCATTAGGATCATCATTAGCTTCAATGATAACTGTAGCCATTCCAGACTTGTAGACCACAGTGTCACCTAAAGATGGAGGATTTATTTACTTATTTTCAACAAAAACAGAAAGCTGCTTTAATAATCTCTAAAGTCAGGGTTATTTTCTTATCAAATTCAGATATTTTATGCATACAGGTTTCCCTTGCCAACCAGGGTTTTGCCAACCACGGTTTTGAGAGTCCATGCTTAATATTCCATATATCATTTCAGCTACCACAGTGTATACAGTTTTCTGTGGCCACGCATCAACCCTCCACCTACCATTTTTCCCGTAAGATTTCATTGATTTCACAGACATTAGGGCTGGAAGGGACCTCGCAAGATCACTGAGTCCAGCCCCCTGCCCCAGGGGCAGGAAGTCAGCTAGGGTCAAAGGATCCGAGCAAGATAAGCATCTAAGTGTTTTTTAAAAGAGTCCAGAGTAAGTGCTTGCACCACCTCTGGAAGGAGTCTATTCCAGGCCTTGGGGGCTCAGACAGTAAAGAAATTTTTCCTAAAAGGTCTTGGAGGAGCTTGTGACCATTTGACCTTGTCATCCATTGGGGCACTCTGGTGAACAGGCATTCCCCCAGATCCTAATGTACACCCCTTATATACTTAGCCTTTTGTCTTGCCAACCATGGCTTTGCCAGCCACGGGAACTTTCAGGAACCTAACCCCAACAGTTGGCAAGGGAAACCTGCATTTAAAAAGGGCAAATAATTTAAATGATCCAATTAAAATTAAAAGATGCAATAACAGATACTTCACATAACAGGAAATACAAAGGCAAAAAATCTATGATAGGTTCTATCTATCCTACACTGTGTAAGGACTAATAAGAGGAGATAACTGTTGTCTAAACATTTGGTTTCAACCATGGCGCATCTCCCTAGACCAGATTGGATTAATTGACCTCCTGAGGTGCCTTCCAACTCTACGGCTACCTCCACACAAGCTTGGACATTTGGTTCGCTGGGAACAATTAGTAGCAGCACACCTTGTGCTGCTGCTAGGTGTCACCAAGGAACACCTGTGCCATACGCCCTCTGGCACCCAGCAAGTTACACTGGGTGGGGTAGGGAAGGCTGGGGCCAGCACAGGCCAGCCCAGTGCTGGCCCCAGCAGCCTTACCTGGCATCCTGAGGGCCTTCTGAAGCTACAGCAGTGGCAATCCTGCTGCTTACAGCCTGGCTGACAGCTGAAATGTGGCTCTGACCAGCCAGGCTCCGGTTTTGAGCAACACATTCTGCACTGTGTGCGCCACTCCTTTTTCTTTTTCGTGATATCCAGGGCTCAACCTGCCCCTCTTCCCCCACAAAAACCCAACAAACAAACCGCACTGCTCCTTTGCATTGCAGAGAACAGCTGAATGTGTGGTATGTTGCACCACAGACACTTCTGTGGTGCTACGTACCACACGGCCACACTCATCTGGACACAGCCGCTGATTTTAAGAGAAGATTGAACCTGATTCAGTGAAACTCCTAAACACAGTATAATTCCTACCTAATGGAAGTAGTCATGCCAAGCAGTGAAGGATGCATCCTGAGCGTCTCAGGTGCAGGACAAGAATCCCATTCAGTCCCATATATCCTATAACATTTTCTGTCCATCCCTCTCCCTTTTTTAAACTTCTGCTCTTAAGAGGCAGGGACAGAAAATTAACCACTTCAAACTAATTTCTCTATGGGGCAGTCTATGCTTTGTGCTCAACTTTATCTACATCTTTCTTAGTTTCCACCCATATTTTCATCAGGACACAGCTGTCTGATCTTGCTTTTGGACACTTCACAGATTTTTGAGGATCCAGGACAATATGAAAAATTGTTCAAAGAAGTGTGTCAGTCTTTTCCCTGTCAGAAACAAGCACAGAAGCTTATCATTTGCATATCAGTTCTAGGAACCTTATGCAAAAGGGTCACCTGCCCTCTTTCATAATCTTGTAGTCATTAGTCGGAAAAAGACCAGATATTTCCCATAAGTGGCTGAAAAGGAAGATGTGGGAGATTATATAGGATGATTTTTTTTTGTTTGCTATATTAAAAAAAACAAAACCCCGTGTCCTAATAGAGTATGCTAGGGAAACAGGCAAGCTGCCTTATTTCAAGTCAAAAAACAAATATATTTCAAGTGTTTTGGGCCCTCTGCTTCTTGAGCCAACTACAATACGGCAAGAATATTTTTTCTACTATATGATTTTCTTTTTCAACGTTTTAAAAAAATGTTCACGCTTACACAAATCCACTCATCTCATTAAGGTTACTCTTCTCTTTTTGTAAAAAAGAAGCCCTGATGAATAAAAAAGTAATATACATAATCTTATTTTATCTAGACATCAAATCCAAATTTTGAAGTTCTTATTTTTTAGGTTATAACCCTTTTCTTTATTGGATCTCTGGCTAAATAGGTTCAAAATGTATGTGAACAAATCTTTTCCATGTACAGCTCTGAATTAGTGAGTGAGCATAACCCTGTTCATATGGCATTCTGCCAAAATATGACAGTTCGAGGTTTTATTTTTCCAGATAGTGATACCCAAAATTTCAAGAAAATTGTTATTTCTATATAAGGCTGATGTAGAAAAGATTTTTAAAATAATGCATTTATGGTCAGTTCAGTGATGCGTCTAATTTTCACTACATTAATTTATTAATAAAAAGTTTTTTAAAAATCCATATTCAGAATTACAGTGCTGTAGATCCTAGTTCCTTTGCAGGGCTAGGTTTATTATTCCATGCAAAACTGAAGGTTTGCACAGTAACTGCTACACAGCATCACTGAGGTGCTCCAGCTGTTTGATGTAGCTTTTATTTCAGCTGGAGCTACTTCTCCACTCAGCTGCGCAAGGTTGCTGATGAGATCCCACTGAGTGGTAAAGAACACCTTTTGAAGTAAAGGGTGCAGCAAACACCTGGGCATCTCCATCCTTAATTTGGCACCCCACTGTGAATTAAACAGATAGGAATCACCCAGATAGGAATGATCCAGGTTCCACTGTAAAATTGCATCTGCAGAAAGTGTCAGCCACTTCAGATAGTTTTTAGGCAATTGGACATGAGAGAAAAATTATGCCTAAATCCAAGTATTCTGTATACAATTCATTGTCTAGATAAATTGACACAATATGTGATACTTTGTGGTATAATTATCTCTTCACAAGTTCATGCAAGACAACAAGCAACAGTCATTATTACTTTCCTTAGATCAAGAAAATGTTTTAACCTGTAGAATTAAAGAGAATGATGTAAAATGCTTCATCTGTTTCAGGGATATCATCTTCATTGGTATATACAGATATATTATGCTGTCTTTCCCCAACAGCAAAAAAAAGGACCTCACTCCTTCCACTGGAAATAAAATCTCCCTCTTCAACTGTGGCTTCTCCATTTACAGTGGCATACAGGACAGCAACAGCAACATCAGCAGATCCATTCCTTAAAACAGTGAAGTTAGCAATATCTCCTTCCTGAACTTTCACAACTACAGGATCTGAAACATATAAACAACAAATCAACTACATGCCTTCAAACAGGAATCTCTTGTGCTAGATCCCACAGTTCAGCCCTTCAAAAGTTATCCTCCAAAATGTTTCCTTAGTGAGGTAGAAGGAAACTCTGGAAAAGTTATGTGAATATTTTCAGCCATAGGAACATACTGATATACAGAACAATGTATCCAACTTCAATATGAACAAAAGGAATAATGAGACAGATGCATGGAAGACTTTGGATGAAACACACACACATAATACTCCAAGAAAAATAGAAGTTTTGCAACTGCCTCTAGTGCTAAAAGGATTGGACCTTAACATGTCTCTTGTCTGGGAAATAAGAATGCTCTTTGTAGTCAATGTATTTGCAACTGTATTTCAAAAAGAATGGAATGGAACCTGCAAAATAAATGGGATCATCATTCCTCGTGATCTGTAAAACTGCACTTGTTATGTTCCCCATTCTAGCTCCTCCAGTTGCATTGAAAAAGCTGATGATGAATATTTCCATTTCTTCAGGTAGCTGAAAGGGAAGAGAACATAAAGAAAATTGTTTTTTGTAGAAATCTGTTTAATGAATTACTTTTTTGGAGAAACTAAAATGAGGTCATCAAGAACTCGGGAATCTCTAAGGGTTTATTCATCCATCCTTACATGTGTATGGGACTTAAATCAACAGTTGGTTATCAATTTGCTATGCTTCCGCAAAAAAGTAGCAGAAACCCAGTTCTGCAGCTTCTTTGCCTAATTCAAAAAAGTATTTAAACCTTTCATAAATCCAAATGCAGTTAATGGGATTTAAGCATATGATCTTAGACCTGGTACAGAGATTACACAAACTGATATAAAATTTATCAGAAACCTGTCTAAACCTGTAACAACAGAAATTCAGGACACATAGATTAGTTTAAAAGCAACGGAACCCAGTCAAAGATGGACCTGAATGGATGTAGTATCAGATTGAATCAGGTTAGGTTAGACCAGTCTATCAAACTTCTATACCAGATCCCCTCCTGACTCACCTTAGATCGCAGTCTGCCAGCATCCCAGGCTGCTTTGTAGTGCCCCCGACCCCCTCACCCAACCACAGGGAGGAACACTGGAACTCAGCTCAGGCTCAGCTGCTCCAACTGAGTGCCCAGGGGGTCCTGCCCCTAGCTCTCTAGCTGTCAGCTGCAGGCAGGACAGAGGCAGGCTCACAAGCTGCTGTGGGGAGATGGTGCCAGCAGTGCGCCCCACATTCCCAGCCCAGGTCAGCAGGGCACAGACTGTCCCTTCCTTGTCATGGTTCTGTCCAAGAACAAGGACTGGGCACTTGAGTGGCTCTGGGAAGGAATTGAAGGCTTCCCATTCCACCCCCAAGAGCTAGCACTAAGTTTCCAGCTGAAGCCCCATCCCCTGCAGCTGCAAGGGCATGGCTCCCACCCAAAGATCAGAGTCCGTTGTGGCTGAAGAGGAAGTGGCTTCAGCCAGGAATTCAGCACTGGTTTGGGGGCAGGGGGAGGGGGCTAGAAATCTTCCAAACCTTCCCAGAGCTGCTCCAGCGCACAGCCCTAGGGCTCAGATGGAACTAGGACAGCAGAGGGACACCCTGTGCTGGAGGATTCCCCCCAGGGGAAACTGTTTCAGATGGGAACTCAGTGCTGGATCGGGGGGGGAGGGGGAAGCCAAATACAGCTTGGAGGGGTTGGGAGGGAGGAATCCTCTGAACCCTTCCCAGAGCCACTCCAGCACATTCCCATGGCTTAGATAAAACTGGGACAGGGGAAAGACGCTTTATGTCCCGTCAACCCAGGCCAGAAATACAGGGTACACCATTAGCACCACCTCTTCCCAGCACAGCAGCTCATAAGTTCCACTGCCCCCTGCCTGTCCTGCCTGGGATGAGCCTCACATCCCCACAAACCCCAGGGACCTCCATACCACTGCAAGCAGGGGTAAGCATGCCTCCCTCCACTGGCTGCCTGCAGCTGACACCTGCCTGACAGATGAAAGGGCAATGAGAGGAGGCATGTCCCCGGCAGCCTATCAGGGGTGGCCCACTGCTCAGCTGCATTCAGCTGCCCTCGGCAGTCTGCAGCACACTGGTAAGCACGCAGGAGCACCACCAAGTTGCTGGCCTTGGTCAGCACAAACACCCTCTGTGCCCCACCCCCCCGACCCTCCCAAAAGGGCAAACTTGTGTTCTGTTCACTCCCAAACTAACATAGTCTGCTTAGAGAAACCCAGATAACTTAGTTTAAATCTACCTTGGTTTTTCTGAATGTTTGTATTTACCCTATATGTCTCACACTTTGGTTATTTGACCCAAGCACAGGTTGAAAGGAGATATTTTTCCCCATTTCCACGTGTGTAAATGCTGATGCAGATAAATAATTAAGGTTTTGCTGGTTGGTTAGGTTAATTTTTTTTTTGGGGGGGGGGGGGGGGAAGGGGGATTAGTTTTTGTTCTTTTACTTAGGAGTATCTGCACCTTCTGAGACTCTGCAGA